GATCCGCAAATTCCCAAGTTATCTTTTAGATATTACTAATATTATAAATGTGAAACTTTGTGATTGTGGATGGATGTTTTACTCATTCACGCGAATGCTATTTAAGGGAGTTTAATAAAACTTTACAGCAATATAGCTTACACATGTATTTCACTTCGATTCAGATTTATTCTTTTTAACAGAATACTTCCTGGAGTCCAGGACGGGCAGTTGCTACAAATTTCACTACACAGGCCAGACGTGGCACCAAGCGTACATGACGTGTGTAGCTGAAGGTGGACACCTGGCCATCATCAACAGCGCTACTGAAGCGCAAGCACTCAAAGAGCTATTTGCTAAGTATCCTGCAAACACTATAAAGGCTTTACGCACAGACCCCATTTTCCTTGGATTTTTGGATTGGAACGAGGATAATACTTGGTTTACTATTCATGGTAATACTTTTTTACATAACTCCCAAAGTTTAGTTATAGGTTTAAATATATAAACCATACCAGTTCAAAACATACTTAACATAGTATTGTTTGCTGATGACATATCACTTATTTTCAAAGTAAAAAGATATACAACGGAATTTAATAATATAAATAATGCTCTTGAATTCAAAATATCTTTATTCATGTAGGTCTATTACAGACGCTTATGATATGTCAGTTCGGAATGATGTTGAGAGGAAAAGAAGTGACAAGATACTCAGCTCGTTCAAATAAATGTTGTACATGTCTACAATAATATAGATTCATTATAAATTCGAATTTGGGAGAATAGAGTTACCACCAGCATGTGCTATTGCAAAAGAAAAAAATCTAATCAGTGTTCGTAACCTGAACAGACCAGTCCCCACAAGAAAGATACAAAACTACCATGTAGTAAGCAAATCAATAACTTTTTTTTTTTCCAGGTGAGACATTAGATGAAGCCGGGTACAAGAATTGGCCGGCCGATCAGCCGGATAATGGTAAACATGGTAACCTGGGCCAACACTGCGGCGGCATGTTCAGAACGGGTTACTTGGACGATTTGTGGTGTGACGTCATCACTTTCCCATTCATTTGCGAAAAAAGCCCAGACAGTTTGCTTCTATAATAAATGTCCTTATAAATTAATATATAACAGAGAGAGTGGACTGTATTTATTGAAAAGAAAATAATTAATGGAAAAGGAAGTATAAATATGATTTCGACCTGGAAGAACTTCTTCCACACTCTGAACACCCCAAAGTAAGCAATGTAACACCACACTTACTCACCTTTGCTCAGGAACGTCCCGATGTGTAGTACTGTTTAGTGGCCACGCACTCTACAGTGTATATTTTCATTAAAAACAATTATATTGTATTAAATAATTCCTTAATTATCTTGTTTTATATAGATAAAAATACGGAGCGACCTTTTAATTCCAGTCCTTATTTTCAATTGTTTTATTATTCTTTTCTTGAAATTTAAGTGGCCACATGTTTTTATATGTGGCCAGTATTACCGAGCGCCCTTTCCTCCAGTAAGCAAGCCGGTGATACAACCTGCTTAGACTAAGGAGGTTCGGAATACGGATCAAAATGTTTTATCTGTGACTGTACTTTGATTCTTTGGACATTAAAAATATTTTAATTCTACGATTGTTTCATTATTCCTTATTAGATGCCTTTCCTTATGCGAGCAGCTAAGGAGTGGAACTCTCTACCAACATCTGTTCTGTGTCTATTCTTGCCTCTTGCTACATTGGCTCTTTCAAGTAAGAGTAGGCACTATTAGAGCTTGTAACAGCTTAGACCGCATTACCTTTACCTTTTATTACACCTTTTATACCTTTTATACCTTTTTTTTTACGTCATGAAAATCCATCATGGAGAACCATTCTCTTAGGGAAGAATGGATACTGCCGGACTCCTACCTGCTAAAAACCTGACGACTGTTCCTCCTGGACATAATCGCCGTGACCATGGGATCGCGCAAGGCATTCTCCACCGGCGTGGTCCCCATCGAAGGGACCTTCCATCTAGGTGTGCAGGGAACAGTCTCTGCACGCCACCTCCCAGACCTTAATGCCTCCCCGGTGAGCTTCGGATTGCCCTAACAATCCACCACCCTAGGGTCAAGTATGGATTCGATGTCCACACTGATCAGACTCAGGTGTCCATCGAATCTCCCCCGCCTACGCCGCGGCTGCGGCTCTGGCCTTTGGCAAGTGACACTGTTTAGTGCTGCCGACTCTATGGACCGCATTAATACCTAACCTAACGCTCAAATATAGAAATAAACAAATAAATATATCTAGTACGCTTTCAAACATTTCTGCCTACAGCCGTACAAGGATTTATAATAAAGTAACAACATAGAAAGGGAAACATTTCTGAATTATTTGTGGCGAGTCACACGTAAAGAAACATTTATTTCTTAAAAATATTATCCCCATTGTGTCTGCGGCTTACAAAGACGAGGAAAACATTATCACACAAATAAAAATTGCTAGAAATTAATAGGTTGTTATTTCGAAAGTGCTTTAGTGTGATCACACACTTTCTAATACGTTTCATCTCTTTTTTTTGTTTATTATGCTGTATGGCTATGATCCGAGTCATTTTGAGCAACTGATATAAATAATATAATATAATATAATCTCAGGACAATTCACACAGCGCCATCTAGTCCCAAGTTAAGCTAGCTAAAGCTTGTGTTGTGAGTACTAGACAACTGATACAAATACCTACATTTTTTTTTTCGTAAAATCATACATATTATAAATAGAAAACACCCAGACCGATACAAACAATTAGACTCATGAATACAAATGTTTGTGCCGTGCGAGGAATCGAACCCGCGAACATCGGACGTAAAGCGGTGTGCTAGACCGCTAGACCACCGAGGTCGTCAAGGTATACAATACTTAGATACATGTATTAAATAAATGTATACATAATATACATAGAAAACTACTGGACCAAAACAAGTAATCATGCTCATGACTACAAATACTAGCTATGTGCGGGGAATCGAACCGGCGACCTTGAGAAGTGAAGCGATATAGTAAACCGCAGAAAATTAATAATCTTGTAGTCGACAAGTGGTCATAGATGTTCAATTTTAATAAGTCTGATTTAAATGAAGATAATTGTACAACATTATTTCATGTAATATAAAATTTACTCCCATAGGATCGTTTGTGCTAATTTTGTATGAGAACAACAACTTGTTTGTTTAACATTACATGTTGCGAGGTATTATGTAGCTTGATTATACTCTTGGGCATTGTCCAGAGGACTGCAGTATAGTTTCATTACGGACAATGTAGGAAGTTTCTTGATTTTTAGTCTTAAACTTAGTTTAAACTTTATGTTTCAAGAGGAGTACACAGAATAATATTACAATGAATCCACAGAATAAAATTCTTTATTATTCGTTGCATCTCTATACAGAAATGTTGCGTCTCCTTTCACCCAAGCGAGATAGCAATACTTTCACTCGTAACTGACGTAAATATTTAGTATTCGTTCAGCTCCACTCGTCTGACTCTATTATTACCTTAAATATAAGGATTTCTATTCGTTATTTTTAAAATTCATTATAATTTTAATCTCTTACATAATATTCCTAATTTTGATACCGTTTTATATTAAAACTTTTAAACAAGGCATTAGTTTAAAAATTAAAATGTATAATAAGGTACCTATTACTATCAGACAATTATGTACCTTCAAAAGAATTTAAATTGAAAATAAAATATTATTTTGAAAAACACCCTTTTTATAATATAACAGAATATATGACTCAAAATGTAATTATATAATTATACCGTAATCATGATTTTTAAACATTATAAAGACGTATTATAATTGTTTATACCGTGTATTGTGTACGTAATTAATTTATTTTATTTTATTTAATAATATAATTGTAATCGAATTTAAATTGTATAAATATCATTATTGTATATTATGACTTGCCATATATGTAAAGATTTTTTTTACATTGGTCAATAAATGAAACTAAACTAAACTAAACTATTATTTATAAGATTGGGCTAAAAATAAGTCCTTGTTTTTTAAATTGAGTTTTTCAGTTATATTTAATTCTATAAGAAAAAATTTATTAGTAAACCGTAAAGCAACTAATAGCTGCATTTTCCTATGTATGTGAGTGCAGAAAAAATTCATAGTAGGGAGAGAGGTCTGAATGTGTTATTTACCTGCACGTTCTCATGTGCTTATACAGGAAAAAAACAACTCTTCGTAGAATGCATTTATTGAAAACATATTAATATTAATTAATATGTTATTGTATATATTTACAAATAGCCGCCGGCAAATTACCTTTTCCTTAAAAGTGAGTAACAATACCACAATTGTGGCGATAAATGCTTATAGCTTATTTAAATAAATAATAATTATATAATTTTGAAGTTTCATTGTTTTTATTACTTACAATGTGTGCAGATATTTTTCTATCCAGCACGAAGGCCGTTCAAATGCGAATTAATACTCCAATAAACTACTGCTATTGAGTAAAAACAATTTAAGCATCTTGACGAGAGACAAAACACATGGTGAAATTAGACCTTGGCGTAACAATCTGCCGATTTTGATGATGAATGTTGAAGGGAATACGCCACTGCACCTCCTATGTGGCTGCCCACTGACGTACAAACGAAATATCTCCTTTGGGAGGAGATAAAAACTATTGCTCCTTCGCTGGCAGGCATTGGATGCGAGCAGCGCAGAACCGATCGTCGTGGAGATCTTTGGGGGAGCCCTATGTCCAGCAGTGGACGTCTTCCGGGCTGTGATGATGATGATGATGTATACAATCTTCCTAAGTGGGCATTGGGAGACTGTAAAGCTCATTTAGTTTCTTTTGGAATGTAGTGTATACTTTAAAAAAAAAACTAAAAAATAATCTATCCCGAGGAGATAAAAACTATCGCTCCTAAGAACATCTTTCAATTCTTGTACTTGATGAGTCTAGGTAGCGAGCTTTTAAAAAGGGCGAGCACTATAGATCTATGCAGGTCGCAGTGCTACAGGTTTTAGCACCTGACAATATCCCAAAACCCCCAATAAAAAAACACCTTTGAAACCGGATCATAGTTTCATGTATTACGTAACCATTTAGACCAGAGGGTCCTAAACTTTTTTGTGTCGTAGACCCCTTGCTATATTTTTCGGTTTTGGGTACACACCCATTCTTACCTGATATTGATTTTTTTGTAAATTTCTAACTGTAGTAAAGTTTAGTGTTAAAACATAAAGTAAAAACGACAAGGTGACTGCTGTCGTAGACCCCTTATATATATATAATAAACTGTATTATGGACCCCAGGGGGTCGATATAGACCACTATGGGAATGACTGATTTAGATGAACTTCTTAACATTCCCTATATTCACCGTGCGGGTGCAGGGTCCATCGTGTTACAGACAGGGAAACTCCGAGCAGTTCCCGGGACTTGTGACCCGGGTGTAGGTTTAAGAGGTCCCTTGCCGACGTCAACACTCACCATAACCGGTCGTGTTTCTCTCCCTGACCAGCCAAATTTTGTAGGAGGTAGACGAATATATTAATAATAATAATAATTGGGGGATGAGAAGTTTCAGTTAAAAAAAAAATAATAATAATCTCAGGACAATTCACACAGCGCCATCTAGACCCAAGTTAAGCTAACTAAAGCTTGTGTTACGGGTACTAGACAACTAATACAAATACATAAATTATTTTTTTTTTTGTAAATCCATACATATTACATACATAGAAATCACTCAGACCGATACAATCATACTCGTGAATACAAATCTTTGCACCGTGCGAGAAATCGAACCAGCGACCATCGGTCGTAACGGTCTAGACCGCCACCACCGATATAGCACCGTCGTCAATATGTCTGTCCATAAAACGTTTTATTTACCATCCAACCGCTGCTCTTCAGTTCACCCGTGATCATGGCAGTTGAAACACTGCCGAAATATCTGGAACTCAATAAACATAAATAAAACGTGGTATGAATGAATGAATGAATGAATGAATGAAACTCTTTATTGTTCCTCTCACAAAAAATACAATTACATACACGATTATGTATGAAATGATAAAAAAAACAACAATAAACAAAGAGGCAACAATGGGCGGCCTTATAGCTAAAAAGCGATCTCTTCCAGGTAACCTTAGAATGGAGCGAAGTGATTAGATTTGCGTCTGGTAGAGGTGTAATGATGGTAACAATATTAGAAGAAATGTTATAAATATACATATAACATAATAATATAATAAACTTACATATACATACATATATATGGATGTGTGATAACCTGTACTGGAAGGAAATCTTAGATGTGGTACTGTCGTGTGCCTGTGCACCACCCGGCAGTGGTCGTAATACGCTGACTGCACGATTCGTAAGACACTTCCCAATGTTTTATATTTCGGCGCCTAATGCTGATGCTATGAAGACTATATTCAAGGTTGGTATTTAGTTAATAATTGTTAGTAATTGTTAGTAATCGACTCAATGCTAGCAATATTCAGAACGTCCTATTGGCAGTTATATCTGGAAACTATCGTGATTAAATCATGATAAAAAATTATGGATGCATAGAATTAGAAGTTCTGAATCTTTCTTACTCAACTTTTTCTATTGAAAAACGTTTTAAGAAACTGATTATTGCTTTTACGATATACTCACACATACATACGACCGTAATACTATTATTACGATAACTTACGTAAATAGTCTTCGAACAGATGTGGACAGTTCGTTCCAAAGACGAGCACCTAGCACACTAAACGATTTGTCGTAGAATGTAGTGCTATGTCTTGGTGTCTTTAACTGGAGACTCTCTGACGATCTAAGATCAACGCTATGGTATGGAGGAAGGTAAACCGCTTCTTCAAGTAGTGAGGAGTTGAAGGGTTATAGAGAATGTTGAAGAAGAGTAAGAAGGTATTCTAACGAAAGCGAATGAGAAGCCACTTGAGTTTAGTGCGAAACTCGGAAATGTTCAGTACACTTGAGTTTAGTGCGAAACTCGGAATACATTTCCGAGTTTCGCACTAAACTCAAGTTGCACTGACATTTTCGGAGACAGAAAATAAATCTGATCAAATTTTTTTTAAGTCGCTCTAGTTTATTAAGTTGTACTTCTGTAATATTGGGGCAACAGGTGTCAGAGTAGTCAAGTATCGCATGAAGAAGAGTTGTTCCTAATCTTATATATAAAATTCTCGTGTCACAGTTTTCGTTCCCATACTCCTCCGAAATGGTTTGACTGATTCTCATGAAGTAGGTCTGAGAATCGGCCAACATCTATTTTTTATCCCTCTAAATGTTAGGGGTAGCCAACCCTAATTTTTTTTTTTAATTTTAAGGCAAAACAACGTTTGCCTGGACAGCTAGTTATATATATAAATAATGAACGCGTCAAATTTAAAACAATATATAAATGATTTATTCCTATTATTTATCTTTCTTATACATATATGTTACATAAAATTTTGTATATAATTAAAAAGGCAGAAGGAAAATAATGCAGAAATTAATTAAAAACAGGATACGTTCTCATATTGACTAGCTGTATCGGCGACTTCGTGCGCGTTGAATTTAGCATTATTTATCTAAAATAAAAGATTTTTTCTAAAATAAAAGTTGCCTAAGTCACTCATTATTATATCAGCTACCTACCAATAAAAGTCCCATCAAAATCGGTCCAGCCATTTCAGAGATTAGCCGGAACAAACAGACAGATAGACAGACAAAAATTTTTAAAAATGTTATTTTGGTGCATGTACCATATCTATATTCATATGCATGTAGTAAAAAACGGTTATTTAAATATTACAAACAGACACTCCAATTTTATTTATATATCTATATATATAAATAAAATTGGATTGATTAAATATAGAAATTGATAATGAATTATATAAATACATGTGATTTAATTAATTTCAATGTTTTTCAAAGCAAAGAGTTACTATTTGTATGTTTATAATATACGAATTAGCTATGATTAATTATTTCTCTGTGCTGGGTATTTTGGCGTTATTCTGTGATATTACAGTGGGTAAGTCTCTATTTTATAAGTTATATCCAAAATAATATTTTTAAGTTAATTCATAAAGCCAAGAGCTTATATTATGGAAACTTGACAACTGATATAAAAACATAGATATATATTTTTTGGAAGTATTTTTTTTTACATTTTTTTGCACCAGTTACAGAAAATATTAATTACTATAAAAATATGTATGACAATGACGAGGACAAAGGGCGGCCTTAGCGCTAAGCAAGCTCTTACAGGCAACCTTTAATGTATGTATGGTATATGGAAGTATGTATATTATATCCCATCAAAAACATAAATGTGAAATGATAGCCGAGTTTAATATTATGATATATGCCTTGATTGTTGACTTCTACGACAAAAGAGATGAGATCTAAATGGGTTGTTTTCTATATCAACTATAAAATAATAGATCGTCTCTAAACTCGTTTAAGGTTGCTTAACACTGCGTTCATCTGTAAGAATTGTTTTCTATATCAACTATAAAATAATAGATCGTCTCTAAACTCGTTTAAGGTTGCTTAACACTGCGTTCATCTGTAAGAAATCGCAAGACTGTTTATTATCAGATTCTCGACTGCGATAACTCGATATAGTGGTTTTTTTTTCGGAATACTCTAATGCTGTTGGAAGCAGCTGACTTTTAAGGTTTCAGTGGACGATAGGGTGTAGGGCAGATGGCACTCCAAATCAAGGAAGGACTTCAACTCCCCAAATCAAGGAAGGACTTATGGAGCGGCTGAAGGCCAACTCCCGCCTGACGGATACGAATTTGGGTACCTCTAGATATCGTGATGTGACTGCCCCATTGCCATTACAGCTGACGAATAACCAGAAGCTGCGTCATCTGTTGCCAAATTGTAAACTTATTAAGTGTGTTAAATTAATTCTTAGTTTTTCTCAACAGCTGGCAGACAGTATCGGTATGACTATAGTACAGCCAAAGTGAAAGGTTGGCTGAAACTGCATTATGTACCAACAACCTGGCACCAAGCACGAATGCGGTGTCATGCCGAAGGTAAAATGTTTATACAAAAGCAATCAAGCGCTGTCACCATTTTTTTAAATTGACAATACTCGAATACCTTACAGTTACGGATTACGCTGGCAGGCACCAGTGGAGGATGATATGATGAATGAGATCAGGTCAGTTAGCCCATCATGGCCAATTTACCAGGAATTTGTAATGGTAGTTTTTAGGGGAAGAGGTCTTCCGCTTGGAGGCCAATCGACAAGGTTCAAAACTGAGGACCCAATTGCTAGCAATTTTTTTAATGGATGATACACGAATAGTGTCCCCACAGTCATAGATTATGATGGTAGGCACCAGTGGATGATGATAAGATGAATGGTCAGGTCAGGTTAGTTAGCCCAGGAATTTGTCATGGTAGTTTTTAGGGGACGAGGTCTTCCGCTTGGAGGCCAATCGACAAGGTTCAAGACTGGGGACCCCATTGCTAGAAATTTTTTTAATGGATGATACACGAATAGTGTCCCCATAGTCACGGATTACGCTGGCAGGTACCAGTGGAGGATGATAAGATGAATGAGGTCAGGTCAGTTAGCCCATCATGGCCAATTTACCAGGAATTTGTAATGGTAGTTTTTAGGGGAAGAGGTCTTCCGCTTGGAGGCCAATCGACAAGGTTCAAGACTTGGGACCCCATTGCTAGCAATTTTTTTAATGGATGATACACGAATAGTGTCTCCGTAGTCACGGATTACGCTGGCAGGTACCAGTGGACGATGATAAGGTCAGGTCAGATTAGTTAGCCTAGAAATTTGTCATGGTAGTTTTTAGGGGAGGAGGTCTTCCGCTTGGAGTTCAACCGACAAGGTCGAAGACTGAGGACTCATTGCTAGCAATTTTTTTAATGGATGATACACGAATAGTGTCCCCGCAGTCATAGATTACGCTGGCAGGTACCAGTTGATAAGGTCAGGTCAGATTAGTTAGCCCAGGAATTTGTCATGGTAGTTTTTAGGGGACGAGGTCTTCCGCTTGGAGGCCAATCGACAAGGTTCAAGACTGGGGACCCCATTGCTAGAAATTTTTTTAATGGATGATACACGAATAGTGTCCCCATAGTCACGGATTACGCTGGCAGGTACCAGTGGAGGATGATAAGATGAATGAGGTCAGGTCAGTTAGCCCATCATGGCCAATTTACCAGGAATTTGTAATGGTAGTTTTTAGGGGAAGAGGTCTTCCGCTTGGAGGCCAATCGACAAGGTTCAAGACTTGGGACCCCATTGCTAGCAATTTTTTTAATGGATGATACACGAATAGTGTCTCCGTAGTCACGGATTACGCTGGTACCAGTGGACGATGATAAGGTCAGGTCAGATTAGTTAGCCTAGAAATTTGTCATGGTAGTTTTTAGGGGAGGAGGTCTTCCGCTTGGAGTTCAACCGACAAGGTCGAAGACTGAGGACTCCATTGCTAGCAATTTTTTTAATGGATGATACACGAATAGTGTCCTCGCAGTCACGGATTACGCTGGCAGGTACCAGTGGAGGATGATAAGGTCAGGTCAGGTTAGTTAGCCCAGGAATTTGTCATGGTAGTTTTTGGGGAAGAGGTCTTCCGCTTGGACGCCAATGGACAAGGTCGAAGACTGAGGACCCAATTGCTAGCAATTTTTTTAATGGATGATACACGAATAGTGTCCTCGCAGTCATGGATTACGCTGGCAGGTACCAGTGGAGGATGATAAGGTCAGGTCAGATTAGTTAGCCTAGGAATTTGTCATGGTAGTTTTTAGGGGAGGAGGTCTTCCGCTTGGAGGCCAATCGATAAGGTTCAAAACTGAGGACCCCATTGCTAACAATTTTTTTAATGGATGATACACGAATAGTGTCTCCGCAGTCATAGATTACACTGGCAGGTACCAGTGGAGGATGATAAGGTCAGGTCAGATTAGTTAGCCTAGGAATTTGTCATGGTAGTTTTTAGGGGAGGAGGTCTTCCGCTTGGAGGTCAACCGACAAGGTTGAAGACTGAGGAGTCCATTGCTAGCAATTTTTTTAATGGATGATACACGAACAGTGTCCCCGCAGTCACGGATTACGCTGGTAGGCACCAGTGGATGATGATAAGATGAATGGTCAGGTCAGGTTATTTAGCCCAGGAATTTGTCATGGTAGTTTATAGGGGAACCGCTTGAAGGTCAACCCACAAGTCTGAGGACCTCATTGCTAGCAATGGAATTCTCAGTTCACATTACTAACAATTCCCTTCCCCGCCGCTTTACAGACCATAATAATATTAGTAATATTTGTATTAAAAATTGCTTTCATCATCATCATCATCGTCATCATCATCATCATCTGTTTCTTCCTTATCCCATTTATTTGTGGTCGTCGTAATATGTTTTTCGCTTCCATTCATCCCTCTTCGCAGTCATCGTGTTATTTACTTCCTTTTGTTAGAATTCACATCATTATCGTAGAAAAAATCCTATATTTTAAAATATATTAAAAGAAGGTAGTTTGTTTTTAGTACTAATGAAGTACCCAATGTAAGGATTATTGCGAATATAGTAAATAGCGCCATCTTGTAAATACGGAGGTCGGTAGTTGAATAATCCTCTTTCGTTGCGTGAGCCGCGGCATTCAGTCGACGAGCGCAGAGCGTGCCAGTTGTGTTTTGGATATTAAAGTGAATTGTATTAGCAATGGGTTTATCCCGGTCTTAGTTGGGCCTGGGGGGAAGCTGCAAGTAGTGAAGGTGAGTGTTAATGCATTCTAAAAGGGCCTTTTAAACCTACACCCGTGTCACAAGTCACGGGCGCTACTTGGGGTTTCCCTTGCGGTAGCCGGCTTCAAAGCCTCAGTCGTCCATCATAAATAGTGCTTCTTACACTTTCTTACCATATCATCTTTAACACAGTCCATCCATCATGACAAAAATTTTATGGAGACAACTGGGATATAAATTCAGATTTCTGTAAAAGGTGATAATAATAATATCTCAGGACAATTCGCTCAGCGCCATTTAGTATTATGCCAAGCAGAGCTTGTGTTATGGGTACTAGACATCTATATAAATTGCTGTTCGTTAGTCTCGCTAAAATTCGAGAACGATGAACCACTTTGGCTAATTTTAGTCTTGAAATATTCGTGGAAGTCCAGAGATGGTTTTAACTAGGAAAAATGCAAGGAATATAGTAAAAAATAACATTTTTATTCCCATACAAACTGTTCGTACCTGTCGAATAGGTTGCGTTCAGAAATTTATTGCGTAAGTAAACTTTAAAAAACTTTTGACATGTAATTTAATATTGGCTGTTCCCGTGACTACGTTCGCGTGCAATTTAACTTTAATTTTCTAAAATACGAGTAAAAGTAGCCTAAGTTACTCCTTATTACATCAGCTACCTGTCAAAACAAGTCCCGTCAAAATCGGTCCAGCCATTTCAGAGATTAGCCGGAACAAACAGACAGACAGACAAAAATTGTAAAAAATGTTATTTTGGTGTATGTGCCGTATTTATATTCATATTTATGTAGTAAAAAACGGTTATTTCAATATTACAAACAGACACTTCAATTTTATTTATATGTATAGATAAACGCGAAAATTTGTGTATAGATGTTTCTTATTTTTTCAGACAGAAACTGCTGAACGGATTTTGATGAAACTTTACAGTAATAATAATAACAAACAACAATCTTAGGACAATTCACACAGCGCCATATAGACCCAAGTTAAGTTAGCTAAAGCTTGTGTTATATATAAGACACCCAGACCGAGACAAAAAATCATACTCATAAATACAAATGTTTGTGCCGTGCGAGGAATCGAACCCGCGACCATCGGACGTAAAGCGGTGTGTTAGACCGCTAGACCACCGAGGTCGTCAAGTAATAGCTTATACATCAGAATAACATATAGGCTATACATTTCAAAGGGTGAAACCGCGGGCACAACTAGTTGTTAATTTTAACAGTTGTTTTAAATTTTAACCTACATTGTTAGTCGTTTTCCAGATATAGACATATTTTCTTGTAATTTGCTGGAATAGAATAGAATAGAATAGAAAATCATTTATTCAAATAAACTTACATTGAAGCACTTTTGAATAGTCATTACATTTTTTAATCTACCGCTCGTTCGGAAAGCTGTCTCATCACAAGAAGAACGAGCAAGAAACTTGCGTGTTGCTCTTTTAAATAATTTTATTATTACTTTACATTTTTAAGTTTAAGTGTGTGAATACAAACCACCAATTAGCACTAATTCTATTAAATACTCAAATAGAAAAAAATATTGAATATATAACCCACTGGTTAAACAATTAATAAGAGGAAATCAGTCATAGTGATTAGAGCAGACCAGTCCCTACAAGCAGCACCCGTTCACGAGTATGACGGATGAGCCAGCCATCACTGTGCTCGACCATATTTTAGGGAGCCCAATGACCCGGCCCACCACGCCGCCACAAGTCTGGACATTTTAGTGAGCATGACTACTCAAAACACTAGACTATGTCAAAGCTACTTACAATGCTGGAGTTTCGTAGGATGGCAGTAGATTATTTATGTAGTGTGTAAAATTGAGATTAAGTATTATTTTTCACTTGTCTCCTTATGTAATTAGTGTTTATAATTGTGTTTATTTGTATACAATCTTCCTAAATGGGTATATTGGGAGACTGTAAAGCTTATTTAGTTTTTTTTTCGGACTACTCTAATGCTGTTGGCCGCAGCTGGCCTTTACAGCTTCACCGGACGATAGGGGCGAGTGCAGATGGCACTCCAAACCCGCGGAAGAACTTATGGAGCGGCTGAAGGCCAACTCCTGCCTGACGGATGCGACTTTAGTCTGAGGGCACCACTTGGGGTTCGAACCTCGGCTCAGGCCGTCGTAATATCGATCCCCGTTTGAATTAGACGGGGGATCTATCGGAGGGACACATAAATAAATATATATGTATTTTTGAACAGGCGCTGTCTTGGCTTCACCTCTCAATGCATCATTTCTGCACGCTATGACCACTATGATGTCAACCAACATAAGTACTACGAAATGTGGAGTACTCAGCGGAATTCATGCGATATTCTATGAAGGCGTTTATTCATCGCTAGAAGGTATAATGATAATATTTTCAGCCTCAGAGAAAAATGGGAAAAACCTGATTTTTTAAATTGATGCTACGTTTACATTCAGCCGCTTCCCCTGCCACTCCCGCTGCCGGAAATATTGCCGGGCGACAACTGAGCGAGAGGGCTGAATGTAAAAACACGCTGCCACTCGCGCTGCCAGTCCTTTGACTCGCGCACGAAAAACCGACAATCGAGGGAGCGCCGGGCAGCGCGAGTGGCAGCGCCAATGGCATGGGAAGTGTTTCCACTCGTGTGTACGCGCTGTTCACTTCCCAGCCCACTCGGGCTGAATGTAAATTGGGCATGATAATTGTTTTTAGCAGAAGCAGCATCGAAGGGTATTTTTGACATTTCATTTGTAATGGTTTATTTACCAATTTTCAGCTCTATATGAATTTTGGCTGAGTTATAATTTTTTTTTATGTATTTTGACTCTATTATATCATTTTACTTCTTACTAATATTATAAACGCGAAAGTTTCTAAGTATGGATGTTTGTTACTTTGTCACGCAAAAACTACTGAACGGATTGTGATGAAACTTTACAGTAATATACTTTATGCATCAGAATAACATATAGGCTATATGATTTATTAAAAAATTTTTCGGATGTAACCACGGCCATACCTAGTAATATGCGAAAGTTTGTGAGTATAGATGGATGTTTGTTACTCTTTCACGCAAAGACTACTAAACGGATTTTATTGACACTTTACCGTACTGTATGTATTTAAAAGTGCATTAAAGAATAAATAAAAGTAACGTCTAATTTGATAAAAGAAATATGATTAATGTTTTTTTATTTCATTTCAGGAATACCACTCAGCAGGATTCCGGTGCGCTGGGCACCTGATGAGCCACATTATAATGAGGATAATGAAAGTTGCCTACTCCTTCTACCAAATGGAGACATGGCAGTCATTAACACTTCTGATGTGTACCCATATATATGCTATAAGAAGAAAACTAAAAATGTACTGACAGGATGTGGCACTTACGATAGTAGTGAGTATTTTGAGGAACGCAATATATAATTATTAGATTAAAAGATTGAAACAATGGACAAAAAAAACACAAATTTGTTTACGAGTTCTAACATGATATAGAATAAAGGGACTAATTGAAAACTACTAATTGGTGTGGGTCTCACTCCCTCCCCTTCTGAATCAACCGGCCAGAAATTAGGACGGCCAGAGACAATGGTCTTTTTTTTATACCACGTAGGTGGCAAACAAGCATACGTCGCATCTGATGGTACAGTTACCGCAGCCTATGGACGCCTGAAACACCAGGGGTGTCACGTGCGCGTTGCCGACCCTTAAGAAACCTTAATATACTATTCTTGAAAAACACCATGCTGTAGTCTCTCGAGAAAACCTCGGCAGGAAATTCATTCCACAATCTAAGTGTACGCGAGGAAGCTCCTCTGAAACCGCACTGTTCGGAACCACTTAGGTTCCAGCGTGTGGGGATGAAATTCCTATCGATGGCGAGCGGTGCGATGGTAAAAGGTAGCTGTAGGCATCATGTCGAACAATTCATCAGAACACAGTCCGTTGTATATACGGTAGAACACACAAAGCGAAGCGAAGTCTCGCCTCAAGCTAAGTGGCTCGATACCGTTTGAGAGATTGGGATCATCGACAATTCTCATGCACGTCTCTGAACTGAATCAAAAGGACCGAGCTGGTATCCAGGTGCTCCTGCCTAAATATATAATATTACAGTGTCGTTGACTAATTTGTACATACGAGTATAGAGCAATTATATGACTTTCTATTATATATCCAAATATCTGTTTGATAGATTACCACCTGGAGCCCAGAATCGGGAGCTGTTACAAATTTCACAACACATGCCTGACATGGCATAAAGCATACATGACGTGTGCTGGTGAAGGTGGACACCTGGCCATCATCAACAGCGCTATTGAAGCTGAAGCACTCAAAGAGCTATACGCTAAGTATCCATCAAACACAATAAACTGCAGATACAAAGATTCGGCGATGATCGGTTTTCTGGACTGGACCCAAGATAGTGTTTGGCTGACTATACATGGTAAGCTATATATATAAATAAAATTGGAGTATCTGTTTGTAATATTGCAATAACCGTTTTTTACTACATGCATATGAATATAAATACGGTACATACACCAAAATAACAATTTTTACAATTTTTGTCTGTCTGTCTGTTTGTTCCGGCTAATCTCTGAAATGGCTGGACTGATTTTGACGGAACTTTTTTTGACACGTAGCTGATGTAATAAGGAGTAACTTAGGGTACTTTTATGTTAGATTTTTTATTTAGAAAAATTAAGTTAAATTCCACGCGGACGAAGTCGAGGGTGCAACTAGTTAACAATAAGTATTTATCAATAATTGAATGATAATTATAAAACGAAGTCGCTGTCGCTGTCTGTCCGTCCCTATGTATGCTTAAAAAACTATACAACGGATTTAGAAGTGGTTTTTGTTTAATAGATATATGTATAATACATCTACACCCAGGCGAAGCCGGAGCGAATAGCTAGTAATATTATAAATGAAAATAGAGAGGGATATCTGTTACTGATTTTGAAGCGGTTTTTTCTAATAGATAGTGTGATTCTAGAGGAAGGTTTATATGATATATATAATACATGTACACCCGTGCGAAACCGGGGCGAGTAGTTTATATAAATATAACAAATCATCATCATCGCAGCCCGGAAGACGTCCAATATAACATATATACATATTGAATTATTTCTAATCGGTAGTTTATATTCATACACTTCAATTTAAAAATGTAAAGTAATAATAAAATTATTTAAAAGAGCAACACGCAAGTTTCTTGCTCGTTCTTCTTGTGATGAGACAGCTTTCCGAATGAGCGGTAGATTAAAAAAATGTGATGACTATTCAGAATTGTGTCAATGTAAGTTTATTTGAATAAATGATTATCTATTCTATTCTATATATGTAGATAGATAACATTTTTATTTATTCTAAAGGCTATTTACGACATTTTACGCTATATACTAGCTCAGCCCGTGACTCCGTCCGCGTGGAATAGTGACCTTGATCAAATAAAGAAAATATATCTAGTAAGATTACAATCCAAAAAAAATTTCATCGTTCTACTTAAAAAATGATGATATCTTAGTACCTTTCATCTCCGCTTACAAGTTTTAAGAGCAACACATAAGTTTCTTGCTTATTCTTCTTGTGATGAATCTGCATTCCGAATAAGCGGTAGAATAAAAAAACTTGACTATTCAAAAGTGCTTATATTAAGTTTATTTGAATAAAGATTATTTCTATTCTATTCTATCAAGACAATGACGACCTCGTTGGTCTAGCGGTCTAGCACACCGCTTTACGTCCGATGGTTCGAATTCCTCGCACGGCACAAACATTTGTATTCATGAGTATGATTGTTTGTATCTGGGTGTTTTCTATGAATAATAGGTATGTATTTACGAAAAAAAATTATCAATGTATTTGTATCAGTTGTTTAGTACCCATAATACAAGCTTTAGCTAGCTTAACTTGGGTCTAGATGGCGCTGTGTGAATTGTTCTGAGATTATTATTATTATTTCTTTATATATATATCTCTCTCTCCCTTTGATGCGATAATAGACATGATTATTATTATTATTAAACCTTTTTCGCACTAAAAAGTAGCCTATGTCCTTTTTCAGGATCTAGACTATCTGTGTAACAAATTTCATATTATATCATGAGATTATGCTACGTAGTATGTTGTTGGCGTCAGTAATATATAACCTCATATCCCTTTGCAGGCGAGACATTACAAAAAGCAGGTTACTCAAGCTGGAGTAATGGTGCCCCAGATAATGCGACACGGGGCAACTTGGGGCAGCAGTGCGGGGCCATCCTGAGGACTGGCCTGCTGAACGACGTGTGGTGTGCCGCGGTTCCGTTCGCTTTTATCTGCGAGAAAAGTCCAGACAGCCTACTCTTCGACAACGACTTGGATTACATATAAATCGATAAAGTGCTAAAATCATAAAAAAAAATTAATTTGTATTATCCAAAAAAGTCACTATTGTTCGAACAATGTCTGCACTCAGTTGACGATTGTTAAAATTATTTTATTACTAGCTGTACCCGCGAGTTTGTCTGCTTCGAATTTAACTTTATTTTTTTTTTTAAATAAAAGAATATTTCTAAAGTAAAAGTAGTCTAAGTTACTACTTATTACATCAGCTACCAGCCAATAAAATTGCCGTCAAAATCGGTACAGCCATTTCAGAGATCAGCCGAAACAAACAGATTAACAGATTATTGATACTTAACTGACGATTGTTAAAATAATTTTATTATTATTGAAATTGTTAATCGTTACTCAACTGAAGATTGTTAAAACTATTACATTACTATTGATTTTATTTATCGTATCTCAACTGACAATTGTTAAAATTATTTTATTATTATTGACATTGTTAATCGTAACTCAAATAACAATTGTTAAAATTATTTTATTATTATTGACATTGTTAATAGTAACTCAAATAACAATTGTTAAAATTATTTTATTATTATTGAAATTGTTAATCGTTACTCAACTGACGATTGTTAAAATTATTACATTACAATTGATTTTATTTATCGTATCTCAACTGATAATTGTTAAAATTATTTTATTATTATTGAAATTGTTAATCGTTACTCAACTGACGATTGTTAAAATTATTACATTACTATTGATTTTATTTATCGTATCTCAACTGATAATTGTTAAAATTATTTTATTATTATTGACATTGTTAATAGTAACTCAAATAACAATTGTTAAAATTATTTTATTATTATTGACATTGTTAATCGTAACTCAAATAACAATTGTTAAAATTATTTTATTATTATTGAAATTGTTAATCGTTACTCAACTGACGATTGTTAAAATTATTTTATTATTATTGACATTGTTAATCGTAACTCAAATAACAATTGTTAAAATTATTTTATTATTATTGAAATTGTTAATCGTTACTCAACACTGACGATTGTTAAAATTATTATTGACATTGGAAGTAATCATTTAAAAGAAGATGCATACTTTATTTTAAAATCCAAATATAATGCAAATTCTGAATGAATAAACATGCTTTACATCCGATGGGCGCGGGTCGTATTCGATTGTTTGTTCTGGTCTGGGAGTTTCCTATATATCTAAATGTATATAACTCAAAGGTGACTGATGTAGTGATCTATCAACGCACAGCCTAAACCACTGGACGGATCGGGCAAAAATTTGGCATGCAGGTAGATGTTATGACGTAAGCATCCGCTAAGAGAAGATTTTGATTAATTCTACCCCCGAGGGGATAAAATTGGGGATGAAAGTTTGCATGAAACTTTGTCAATTTTAAACCGATCGGGCTGAGACTTTGCATGCATAAAGCTACTATGACGTAGGCATACCCTAAGAAAGAATTTTGATCCACCCCTAAGGGGATAAATTAACGCTAGCGAAGCCAGCTAGTATTATATATATACAAAAAATACATATTATATAAACATATATATAATTTGTCATAACACAAGCTCTACTTAACTTTGACCAGCCGCCGATTAAGGTTAAAGCAGAAATGCAAAATTGTAATTCCAGTCCTAGCCGGTTATGAACGATTTAAACCATGCGGTTGTAAATGCATTTTTCGTTATTAACGGTTAATTAACCGCATTTTACGCTCGGTACTTTCAGTAGCTAGAGCACAAAAAGGATTGACCACGAGACAAATTAACTTTGTAAAAGAAAGAAACGGTACCTGCATGTATTTTATTTCCTCCGATTTGGAACTAAAATGTGATAATGTTATTTAATAGACTGTACAAAGAGTTTTTGATAATCATTGAACTTGATTGAACAGAAGGCTTGTGTATTTCTATTGAAATCACGATCCAAGAGATATTTCAAGTGTTTTCGTATTGTAAACTCTACACTATCTGTTTGCTGGAGGCATATTGCAGTGGTTTCAATTTGTTTTAAATTGAAATAAAAAGATATATTGTACACAGATGACGTCACGGAATGTTCGAGAATGAGTGCAAAATTGTATATAAAATAACATCAAAGTTCTGTACCTGACGTTCCAATTTTGAAATTTAAAAATTTTGTTCTTAAATATATTAAAAGGCTGTTTGCGATCGCAAACACTACCTAATGCCCATTTTTTTTTGGGACAAACGAGCATGCGGCTCACCTGATGGTAAGTGATTACCGCCGCCCATTAGCACCTGCAACACCAGGGGAATTGCAAGAATGTTGTCGGCCTTTTAAAAAAGAATAAGCTCTTTTCTTGAAGGTTTCAATATCGTATCGGTTCGGAAATACCATTGCTGGAAGGTCATTCCACAATGTGGTTGTGCGTGGCAAAAAGTTTCTAGAAAACCGCACTGTGGAAGACCGCCATTCATCCAGATGATCAGGATGGTATTTTTCTGGCGGGTGGTACGGTGGTACACCGTCCATGGGCGGCGATAATCACTTGCCATCAGGTGAGCCGCAATCTCGTTTGTCCCCTATGCTGTAATAGAGAAAAACATTCATACCAGGTTTATTTAGCGATATGATCTCCCATCTCAACAGTAGTTATTTATAAATGAGATAAGTTATCTTATTTATATACTGATTTTTCACGCGTGTACAGCGTTATGTAAAGTAGGTATATATATAAAGTAGGTCTGAAATACCATCCTGATCATCTGGATGAATGGCGGTCTTCCACAGTGCGGTTTTCTAGAAACTTTTTGGCACACACAACCACATTGTGGAATCACCTTCCAGCAATGGTATTTCCGAACCGATACGATATTGAAACCTTCAAGAAAAGAGCTTATTCCTTTTTAAAAGGCCGACAACGTACTTGCAATTCCCCTGGTGTTGCGGGTGCTCATGGGCGGCGGTAATCACTTACCAACAGGTGAGCAGCATTCTCGTTTGTCATATAGATATATAAGCTTAGTTAAGTCCATTTTGTATGCGCTTTTTGCACAATAAACTTATTATTATTATTAATTATATGGTAAAACAACATTTGCCGAATCAGCTAGTGTTTAAATACGTGTGGTATTTACAGATTATGCAAACATTGTACGAAACTGTAATGTCATTAAAACGTTACTATTGGTTTGCCATCACTACGCGACGATATCTATACAGAAGTGAAAGTGTGGTACGAAATTATAATTGTCTACAGATAATAATTAATGGTGAATATATGTATATGTAAATATTATTCGATGGTGTAACTCTACAAGCGGAAGGTTAGTGTATATAATTGATAATAATTATTAATTATATTTATTTATATATATATAGAAATTTTATAGTTAAAATATAAATTCTATTGTCTGAACGACTAACGTCTCACAATGTTGTCTGACAAATATTCGTTTAGATATATGTAATAAATAGGCTATATTAATTTTTTTTTAATAAAACATAAAAAAAAAATACAATATGTCATTAATATCTTTGGTTTCATATTGTATAATTTAATGAACATTCTCAGATCCATAAACTTTATATATGTATATAAGAGTATTTATCCCTTATCTAAATTTAATACATATATAGAGATTTAATTTGACAGCCTCACTGGTCTGGTGGTTTAGCGCACCGCTTTACTATCCGATGGTCGTGGGTTCGATTCCTCGCACGGAACAAGTATTTGTATTCATGAGTATGTTTGTTTGTATCGGTCTGGGTGTTTTCTATGTATAATATGTATTTATTTACAAAAAAAATGCATCCATGTATTTATATCAGTTGTCTAGTACTCATAACACAAGCTCTGCTTAGCTTAGGACTAGATGGCGTTGTGTGAATTGTCCAGGATCATTATTATTATATTTAATAGATAAAATATAAAATCTCTTGTTTTGTATTTTATATATGAAATCTCTGTAACGTTATACAAAGTCGTCTGACAAATAATCGTTTATAGAGTAATAAATAGGCTATATTATGTATTTTCAATGCATTTTTTTCATGCAAACGAGATCCTATATTAATACAATATTTTTTAAATTTAAACGATAGATCTTTGTTATCTTTTGCTAAAATATTGTATAATTTAATACATATTTCCATAAAGAGCTATTAACTTTATCTGAATATAGGAGAGTGTTTGTCTGCGGTTTCACTCGCATGAAATTTATAGGCTATATGTTATTCTGATGTATAAGCTATATTATTGTGAAATTTCATCAAAATCCGTTCAGTAGTTTTTGTGTTATAGAGTAACAAACATCCATCCATACAAACTTTCGCGATTATAATATTAATTAATTAATAATAAGTTTAAGATAAGCAATTAAACATAAAAAAATACCTTCTTTTAAGTATTTTTTTATGTTTCATTGCTCATTTTAATCTTATTATCCTATATCTTTAAGTTTGCTTGTTAAATCACTGAGCCACGCCTTTTAAGTAGTAAAAATATTTTTTTCAGGATAACACATTAAAAATGGATGTTTTGAACATGGTCTCGAGTGTGCATTCAATTCAGAATGCGTTTCAAGTACTCACAACTCTTCAGCTGACATCCTACTTGTTTCCTCCAAGTACCCCTATCCGTAGTGAGTTATTATCATTATGATAAGAAATTTGCAGGATCATCCGTAGTGAGTTATCATCCTTATGATAAGAAATTTGCAGGATCATCTGTAGTGAGTTATCATCCTTATGATAAGAAATTTGCAAGGATCATAGTGAGTTATCATCCTTATGATAAGAAATTTGCAAGGATCATAGTGAGTTATCATCCTTATGATAAGAAATTTGCAGGATCACTTATCCTTCAAATTTCTTATCATAAGGATGATAAATCACTACGGCATAGGCAGACGTCTTTGTTTTAAGTGTGCACTTAGATATTTTATGTTATTGAGAATGTAACGGACACAGTGGTCTAGCGGTTTAGCATAACGCTTTACTCCCGATGGTCGCGAGTTCGATCCCTCGCACGGCGCAAACGTTTATATTCATGAGTATGAGTTTTTGTATTGATCTGCATGTTTTCTATATATATTGTGTATGTGTTGTAGAAGTCTTTGTACATAGCATACACTTAGATATTTTGTGTTATTTATTCAATTAATACAAGACGGTCACGGTCTAGCGGTTTAACACACCGTTTTTCTTCCGATAACCGCGAGTTCGACTCCTCTAACGGTGCAATAGTTTGTATTCATGAATATGATTGTAACAGTCTGGGTATTTTCTACATATATTATGTATGTATTTACAAAAAAATCTAGGTATTTGTTTCAGTTGTCCAATACTCATAATACAAGCTTTGCTTATGTGGGACTAGATGACGCAGTCCAATTATCGCGAAATTTTGTATATTTTTTATTAATATAAACTTACAGCTATGTCAACAATTATAGAATTTGCTAGCCAGGCCTGTCAGGGACAAAAATTAAAGGTGTGTTAACTTAAACACGTTACATATGGTTTTACACGTAGATATAGTCTAAAGAACAAAAGGGAAGTATATATCCATCTCTGTTTACCTTAGGAGTTGAGTGTACACAGTTGTTAGCAGTAATAATAATGTATTGGACGTACATCAAATTAATTCTATCATAATCTATCGACTAGCTTTCGCCCCGTCTTTACACGAGTGTGAATCTCTTAATTAGTAAGATATAACTGCTAAACAATGTAGGAATGTAACATTGGTAATCAACGTCTATGTGACAGACTCGACCCATTGGCTTTGCGGCGAGATATTGCATCTCTGTGCATTTTCTACCGCATATATCACGGGGAGTGTTCTGAGGAATTGTTCTGATTAATACCAGCTGCTGAGTTTCACCACCGTACCACCCGCCAGACACTAAAATACCATCCTGATCATCTGGATGAATGGCGGACCGCCATTCATCCAGATGATCCACAGTGCGGTTTTATAGAAACTTTGAAAAATAAATAAAAAAATCTCTGAAGAATGTCAGCAGATATCATTCTATTTTACAATATTTTTATATAATTGTTAGAGAGAATGTCAGTAGATGTCATTCTATTTTACAATATTGTTCTGTAATTGTTAGAGAGAATGTCAGTAGATGTCATTCTATTTTACAATATTGTTCTGTAATTGTTAGAGAGAATGTCAGTAGATGTCATTCTATTTTACAATATTGTTCTGTAATTGTTAGAGAGAATGTCAGTTGATGTCATTCTATTTTACAATATTGTTCTGTAATTGTTAGAGAGAATGTCAGTTGATGTCATTCTATTTTACAATATTGTTCTGTAATTGTTAGAGAGAATGTCAGTTGATGTCATTCTATTTTACAATATTGTTCTGTAATTGTTAGAGAGAATGTCAGTTGATGTCATTCTATTTTACAGTTGTTCTGTAATTGTTAGAGAGAATGTCAGTTGATGTCATTCTATTTTACAGTTGTTCTGTAATTGTTAGAGAGAATGTCAGTTGATGTCATTCTATTTTACAGTTGTTCTGTAATTGTTAGAGAGAATGTCAGTTGATGTCATTCTATTTTACAGTTGTTCTGTAATTGTTAGAGAGAATGTCAGTTGATGTCATTCTATTTTACAGTTGTTCTGTAATTGTTAGAGAGAATGTCAGTTGATGTCATTCTATTTTACAATATTGTTCTGTAATTGTTAGAGAGAATGTCAGTTGATGTCATTCTATTTTACAATATTGTTCTGTAATTGTTAGAGAGAATGTCAGTTGATGTCATTCTATTTTACAATATTGTTCTGTAATTGTTAGAGAGAATGTCAGTTGATGTCATTCTATTTTACAGTTGTTCTGTAATTGTTAGAGAGAATGTCAGTTGATGTCATTCTATTTTACAGTTGTTCTGTAATTGTTAGAGAGAATGTCAGTTGATGTCATTCTATTTTACAGTTGTTCTGTAATTGTTAGAGAGAATGTCAGTTGATGTCATTCTATTTTACAGTTGTTCTGTAATTGTTAGAGAGAATGTCAGTTGATGTCATTCTATTTTACAGTTGTTCTGTAATTGTTAGAGAGAATGTCAGTTGATGTCATTCTATTTTACAATATTGTTCTGTAATTGTTAGAGAGAATGTCAGTTGATGTCATTCTATTTTACAATATTGTTCTGTAATTGTTAGAGAGAATGTCAGTTGATGTCATTCTATTTTACAATATTGTTCTGTAATTGTTAGAGAGAATGTCAGTTGATGTCATTCTATTTTACAATATTGTTCTGTAATTGTTAGAGAGAATGTCAGTTGATGTCATTCTATTTTACAGTTGTTCTGTAATTGTTAGAGAGAATGTCAGTTGATGTCATTCTATTTTACAGTTGTTCTGTAATTGTTAGAGAGAATGTCAGTTGATGTCATTCTATTTTACAGTTGTTCTGTAATTGTTAGAGAGAATGTCAGTTGATGTCATTCTATTTTACAGTTGTTCTGTAATTGTTAGAGAGAATGTCAGTTGATGTCATTCTATTTTACAGTTGTTCTGTAATTGTTAGAGAGAATGTCAGTTGATGTCATTCTATTTTACAATATTGTTCTGTAATTGTTAGAGAGAATGTCAGTTGATGTCATTCTATTTTACAGTTGTTCTGTAATTGTTAGAGAGAATGTCAGTTGATGTCATTCTATTTTACAGTTGTTCTGTAATTGTTAGAGAGAATGTCAGTTGATGTCATTCTATTTTACAGTTGTTCTGTAATTGTTAGAGAGAATGTCAGTTGATGTCATTCTATTTTACAGTTGTTCTGTAATTGTTAGAGAGAATGTCAGTAGATGTCATTCTATTTTACAATATTGTTCTGTAATTGTTAGAGAGAATGTCAGTAGATGTCATTCTATTTTACAATATTGTTCTGTAATTGTTAGAGAGAATGTCAGTTGATGTCATTCTATTTTACAATATTGTTCTGTAATTGTTAGAGAGAATGTCAGTTGATGTCATTCTATTTTACAATATTGTTCTGTAATTGTTAGAGAGAATGTCAGTTGATGTCATTCTATTTTACAATATTGTTCTGTAATTGTTAGAGAGAATGTCAGTTGATGTCATTCTATTTTACAGTTGTTCTGTAATTGTTAGAGAGAATGTCAGTTGATGTCATTCTATTTTACAGTTGTTCTGTAATTGTTAGAGAGAATGTCAGTTGATGTCATTCTATTTTACAGTTGTTCTGTAATTGTTAGAGAGAATGTCAGTTGATGTCATTCTATTTTACAGTTGTTCTGTAATTGTTAGAGAGAATGTCAGTTGATGTCATTCTATTTTACAGTTGTTCTGTAATTGTTAGAGAGAATGTCAGTTGATGTCATTCTATTTTACAGTTGTTCTGTAATTGTTAGAGAGAATGTCAGTTGATGTCATTCTATTTTACAATATTGTTCTGTAATTGTTAGAGAGAATGTCAGTTGATGTCATTCTATTTTACAGTTGTTCTGTAATTGTTAGAGAGAATGTCAGTTGATGTCATTCTATTTTACAATATTGTTCTGTAATTGTTAGAGAGAATGTCAGTTGATGTCATTCTATTTTACAGTTGTTCTGTAATTGTTAGAGAGAATGTCAGTTGATGTCATTCTATTTTACAGTTGTTCTGTAATTGTTAGAGAGAATGTCAGTTGATGTCATTCTATTTTACAATATTGTTCTGTAATTGTTAGAGAGAATGTCAGTTGATGTCATTCTATTTTACAGTTGTTCTGTAATTGTTAGAGAGAATGTCAGTTGATGTCATTCTATTTTACAGTTGTTCTGTAATTGTTAGAGAGAATGTCAGTTGATGTCATTCTATTTTACAGTTGTTCTGTAATTGTTAGAGAGAATGTCAGTTGATGTCATTCTATTTTACAGTTGTTCTGTAATTGTTAGAGAGAATGTCAGTTGATGTCATTCTATTTTACAGTTGTTCTGTAATTGTTAGAGAGAATGTCAGTTGATGTCATTCTATTTTACAGTTGTTCTGTAATTGTTAGAGAGAATGTCAGTTGATGTCATTCTATTTTACAATATTGTTCTGTAATTGTTAGAGAGAATGTCAGTTGATGTCATTCTATTTTACAGTTGTTCTGTAATTGTTAGAGAGAATGTCAGTTGATGTCATTCTATTTTACAATATTGTTCTGTAATTGTTAGAGAGAATGTCAGTTGATGTCATTCTATTTTACAGTTGTTCTGTAATTGTTAGAGAGAATGTCAGTTGATGTCATTCTATTTTACAATATTGTTCTGTAATTGTTAGAGAGAATGTCAGTTGATGTCATTCTATTTTACAATATTGTTCTGTAATTGTTAGAGAGAATGTCAGTTGATGTCATTCTATTTTACAGTTGTTCTGTAATTGTTAGAGAGAATGTCAGTTGATGTCATTCTATTTTACAATATTGTTCTGTAATTGTTAGAGAGAATGTCAGTTGATGTCATTCTATTTTACAGTTGTTCTGTAATTGTTAGAGAGAATGTCAGTTGATGTCATTCTATTTTACAGTTGTTCTGTAATTGTTAGAGAGAATGTCAGTTGATGTCATTCTATTTTACAATATTGTTCTGTAATTGTTAGAGAGAATGTCAGTTGATGTCATTCTATTTTACAGTTGTTCTGTAATTGTTAGAGAGAATGTCAGTTGATGTCATTCTATTTTACAATATTGTTCTGTAATTGTTAGAGAGAATGTCAGTTGATGTCATTCTATTTTACAGTTGTTCTGTAATTGTTAGAGAGAATGTCAGTTGATGTCATTCTATTTTACAGTTGTTCTGTAATTGTTAGAGAGAATGTCAGTTGATGTCATTCTATTTTACAGTTGTTCTGTAATTGTTAGAGAGAATGTCAGTTGATGTCATTCTATTTTACAGTTGTTCTGTAATTGTTAGAGAGAATGTCAGTTGATGTCATTCTATTTTACAGTTGTTCTGTAATTGTTAGAGAGAATGTCAGTTGATGTCATTCTATTTTACAGTTGTTCTGTAATTGTTAGAGAGAATGTCAGTTGATGTCATTCTATTTTACAGTTGTTCTGTAATTGTTAGAGAGAATGTCAGTTGATGTCATTCTATTTTACAGTTGTTCTGTAATTGTTAGAGAGAATGTCAGTTGATGTCATTCTATTTTACAGTTGTTCTGTAATTGTTAGAGAGAATGTCAGTTGATGTCATTCTATTTTACAATATTGTTCTGTAATTGTTAGAGAGAATGTCAGTTGATGTCATTCTATTTTACAGTTGTTCTGTAATTGTTAGAGAGAATGTCAGTTGATGTCATTCTATTTTACAGTTGTTCTGTAATTGTTAGAGAGAATGTCAGTTGATGTCATTCTATTTTACAGTTGTTCTGTAATTGTTAGAGAGAATGTCAGTTGATGTCATTCTATTTTACAATATTGTTCTGTAATTGTTAGAGAGAATGTCAGTTGATGTCATTCTATTTTACAGTTGTTCTGTAATTGTTAGAGAGAATGTCAGTTGATGTCATTCTATTTTACAGTTGTTCTGTAATTGTTAGAGAGAATGTCAGTTGATGTCATTCTATTTTACAGTTGTTCTGTAATTGTTAGAGAGAATGTCAGTTGATGTCATTCTATTTTACAGTTGTTCTGTAATTGTTAGAGAGAATGTCAGTTGATGTCATTCTATTTTACAGTTGTTCTGTAATTGTTAGAGAGAATGTCAGTTGATGTCATTCTATTTTACAGTTGTTCTGTAATTGTTAGAGAGAATGTCAGTTGATGTCATTCTATTTTACAGTTGTTCTGTAATTGTTAGAGAGAATGTCAGTTGATGTCATTCTATTTTACAGTTGTTCTGTAATTGTTAGAGAGATTGTCAGTTGATGTCATTCTATTTTACAATATTGTTCTGTAATTGTTAGAGAGAATGTCAGTTGATGTCATTCTATTTTACAGTTGTTCTGTAATTGTTAGAGAGAATGTCAGTTGATGTCATTCTATTTTACAATATTGTTCTGTAATTGTTAGAGAGAATGTCAGTTGATGTCATTCTATTTTACAGTTGTTCTGTAATTGTTAGAGAGAATGTCAGTTGATGTCATTCTATTTTACAGTTGTTCTGTAATTGTTAGAGAGAATGTCAGTTGATGTCATTCTATTTTACAATATTGTTCTGTAATTGTTAGAGAGAATGTCAGTTGATGTCATTCTATTTTACAGTTGTTCTGTAATTGTTAGAGAGAATGTCAGTTGATGTCATTCTATTTTACAGTTGTTCTGTAATTGTTAGAGAGAATGTCAGTTGATGTCATTCTATTTTACAGTTGTTCTGTAATTGTTAGAGAGAATGTCAGTTGATGTCATTCTATTTTACAGTTGTTCTGTAATTGTTAGAGAGAATGTCAGTTGATGTCATTCTATTTTACAGTTGTTCTGTAATTGTTAGAGAGAATGTCAGTTGATGTCATTCTATTTTACAGTTGTTCTGTAATTGTTAGAGAGAATGTCAGTTGATGTCATTCTATTTTACAATATTGTTCTGTAATTGTTAGAGAGAATGTCAGTTGATGTCATTCTATTTTACAGTTGTTCTGTAATTGTTAGAGAGAATGTCAGTTGATGTCATTCTATTTTACAATATTGTTCTGTAATTGTTAGAGAGAATGTCAGTTGATGTCATTCTATTTTACAGTTGTTCTGTAATTGTTAGAGAGAATGTCAGTTGATGTCATTCTATTTTACAGTTGTTCTGTAATTGTTAGAGAGAATGTCAGTAGATGTCATTCTATTTTACAGTTGTTCTGTAATTGTTAGAGAGAATGTCAGTTGATGTCATTCTATTTTACAGTTGTTCTGTAATTGTTAGAGAGAATGTCAGTTGATGTCATTCTATTTTACAGTTGTTCTGTAATTGTTAGAGAGAATGTCAGTTGATGTCATTCTATTTTACAGTTGTTCTGTAATTGTTAGAGAGAATGTCAGTTGATGTCATTCTATTTTACAGTTGTTCTGTAATTGTTAGAGAGAATGTCAGTTGATGTCATTCTATTTTACAGTTGTTCTGTAATTGTTAGAGAGAATGTCAGTTGATGTCATTCTATTTTACAGTTGTTCTGTAATTGTTAGAGAGAATGTCAGTTGATGTCATTCTATTTTACAGTTGTTCTGTAATTGTTAGAGAGAATGTCAGTTGATGTCATTCTATTTTACAGTTGTTCTGTAATTGTTAGAGAGAATGTCAGTTGATGTCATTCTATTTTACAGTTGTTCTGTAATTGTTAGAGAGAATGTCAGTTGATGTCATTCTATTTTACAGTTGTTCTGTAATTGTACAGCACGTCATCATGTGGCTCCAATATATTCTATAATAAATATAATATAATAATAATCTCAGGACAATTCACACAGCGCCATCTAGACCCAAGTTAATCTAGCTAAAGCTTGTATTATGGGTACTGGATAACTCAAAAAATACATAGATATTATTTTTTCGTAAATACATACATATTATACATAGAAAATACCCAGACCGATACCAACAATCATACTCATGAATACAAATGTTTGCATCGTGCTAGAAATCTAACCCGCGATCATCGGAAGTAAAGGGGTAAGCTAAACCGCTAGAGCACTTAAACTTTGTTTTCAGATGGAAGTACTTTCGATTATATAGTAGTGGGAGCAGGGTCTGCAGGCAGTGTGATAGCCAACCGACTTACTGAGGATCCCAACATAACGGTGCTCCTTATAGAGGCTGGGGGAGATCCACCAACGGCCTCTGTTGTAAGCAATTTATAAAGTAGTCTCTTATTACGTTGTATTCTTCTTTTTAATCTTTTACACGTAGGAAATTTCTTAACATATAGTCTCTTGTATTCTTCTTTTTAATCTTTTACACGTAGGAAATCTTATTTTTATTTATTTGGAATGGTAAGTAAGCTGCCTAAGTGCTAGCCGTCGCTGATATGCATTAAGTGTGTGTTCATCACGTTATCATGTACCATCCGTGATATCATTCATTGTGATTCCAGAGAGTATATAATAATAACAACTGAAAATAAGGGATTAGCTTATAGATGTTTAATAAAGCAGAGCCCCGTGACAGAAGTGTATATAAAACAAATGTATAAAAAGAATACTTACGTTTTAAATAGGATAAACGAATATACAAAACTGCCAGTTTCTAGGAGCAAGAAATGGTAGTTTATTTTTTTTTCGCCTGTGCGCCAGAATGATTATGTTATCTGTGATACAAGTAACAATCAGTGATATGAACTTCCTGTATACATATGAAGTGTTAAAAAAATTGTTTGTTTATAATTCCTCGTTAAACTTCATCTGATTTTACAATTATAATGTACAAATAAATTCCAATAGTAGATGGCATATTTTAAATTAATCAATTAACAATATTAGTACTGATTTTATAAGATTTCTTTCTAGCCTTAACCGTTGACCTACTTTTAACAGCATTCTGTGAAAATTTCATTGTTATTCGTGTACTTGTTTCTATATGAAACATTAATACAAGAAGTGGACAAACAAACAGTTTTCGCTTCATTACGATTTTATTATATACCAGCTGTACCCGCGGTTTTATCCGCGTTAAATTTATAGCCTATATATTATTCTGATATATAAGCTATATTACCGTTAAAGTTTAATTAAAATCCGTTCAGTAGTTTTTGCTTGAAAGACTAACAAACATCCATACTCACAAACTTTCGCGTTTATGAAATTATTAAGATAAATTTGGTATCTACACAAATATAATGATCATGTCTAATAGCTTCCAGGTTTGATGGCGTATTTAAAAGAATCCCAAGTTGATTGGAATTACACGTCACTGGAAGAAAATGCCCAACGATGCCATAACAATCATGTCTCTGATCTCACACGCGGTAAGATGTTGGGAGGCTGCAGTAGTAATAACTACATGGGCTACGTTCGTGGTGACCCCAATGACTATAATACTTGGGCTGCCATTACCAATGACCAGTCATGGAATTATGACAACATTCTGCCATATTTTATTAAAAGTGAAAATCTTCTAGACCAGGCTATTCTCAATTCCCCTAACAGAGTATTCCACGGTACTAAAGGTTACCTAAATGTAACTAGACACCCATCAAACTCAACACATAAATATCTGAAGGCATTAAAAGAATTAGGACATAATATTGTGTTAGATACAAATGGAAATTATACTTTAGGATACGCCCAACCAATATTTACTGCCGCCAATAATGTTCGACAAAGTACTGCGCAATCATTTTTAGGTACAATAAAAAATAGACCTAATTTGTATGTCGTTAAAAATAGTTTAGCTACAAAAATAATATTTGATAGCTTCAAAAATGCTATTGGTGTTAAACTAGTAAACGAAAGCAACAAAATCATTACAGTAAAAGCGAACAAAGAAATTATAATATCAGCTGGAAGTATAAATACTCCTCAATTACTCATGCTTTCGGGCATCGGTCCAAAAGAACATCTTCGAAATATTGGAATTAATGTTATATCAGATTTGCCGGTGGGTGAAAATCTTCAAGATCATGCTCCAGCATTATTGGTTTATACTACAGAAAAGACCAAACCTAAAGGACCTATTGACCCACATGAATACCCGGTACCTATGACTATTGGTTATGTAGCTTTAAATAAGTCCCAAACTTATCCAGACTATCAAGCCATAACTCTAATATTGGATAGCTCCTCTATTCTGCAGTTTTGCGCCTTTACATTTAACATTGATTACAATATTTGCCAACGATTATACGAAGACAGTAAGGGAAGGGAGGTACTTCTTGTCATCTGCTCCAAACTCAATCCAAAATCTCGAGGGCGTGTGTTCTTACAAAGTGTAGATCCAACGAAACCTCCATTAATTAAACTGGGAGCCTATTCCGCGTACACAGACATAGATGACACTATTGCTTATGCAGACGATTTCAATCGTATACTGGGTACGAAATATTTCAAGAGTGTTAATGCTAAATTGTTAGCACCAAACTGCCTGGGTTTGGAACAGGGCAGTGAGGAATTCTGGCGGTGTTATATACCGTGTATGACATCATCAATATATCATTATGTTGGGACGTGTGCTATGGGCTCAGTAGTAGATACACGTCTCCGAGTATCTGGTGTGCAAAGATTAAGAGTAGTAGATGGTAGCGTGATGCCAGTTATTACTAGTGGAAACACCAATGCACCTATTATTATGATTGCTGAAAAGGCCGCAGATATGATAAAACAAGATAACGCAGAACTGTGATTGCGAGAATTTATTATGCATACAATAATAATTTTGTGCGTGTTAAGAAATAGTGAGATGTATTTGCTCTTTTTAATTAAATAAATGTAAGAATAATTTATGAACTACACAATGGAATGTGTTTTATTATAAATATAACCTTATGATTTATCTACGTAGATACTACAATAGCAGTATTATATAGGTGTACACTGTTTTTATATATCCATTAAATGAAATTGCTACTAAAGCAGAATATAAATTTATAATAGCTATAGATGACAAAATATCATGTACCACAAATAAATATTAAACACAATTTTAAACGAAGAAAACATATTGCGTAACTTAAACAAACATATCTGTACAAATAAAAGAATAGATTACAGAGCTACTTTCCATTTAAATTAAGTCTAGTGATAATAGTAATTATAAATGTAATTTATTCGATTGAACACTTACAAATGAGACATACCATAACAAGATACTTAAAATATATTGAGCAACAACAATAATAATACTGTAAGAAATCATCATACCAGCAATATATTTATTAGTTAATGTATATAACGTAGTAATAACGTGGCCAGGACAAGAAAAATCGACTTAATTCGAATTAAGGATAACTCAAAAATTCCTAATCACATCTAGCTCAAATTTATTTGGAACCACAGGACGCGCACTAGTTTTTAGATAATATGTATATCATTTAAAATATTTTTGTGAATATTCTTATGCAGCGCGATGGATATCACCTCACAACTGTAGTATTATGTATGATGTAGTATGGTGTCGCTACGCTGTAGTATCTAGACAGTGAGTATACAGATGGAATAATTAAACTACATTAGTAAGTTTATTTGATAGTGTGCTAACTCTAACGCTAACGCATGCACTCAATACGGAGTTGTAACGTGAACTGACTTTCGACTGAATTTAAATCCAAACAAATGTAAGAGAGCTGAGTGTTGGAGTAAATATTACAAACGTAGACACAACTAGTTTGTACATAATAAAAAAAAATATCTCATAGAAACAAAATGTAGGTGACACAAATAAAAGACTATTCCGCAATAAATATGGTTCTTCCTATTTTGAAGGTGGTCAAAAATGAATTTGACTTAAGTTAATGGAAATATTTTCACTTATGTTCTCTCTTGGTTTGGCATTCACTGTAGATTTAAGATATTAATAGTTTATACATTCATTTTTACTTATAATACAACTTTAGATATAGATGTCTTGTATATGAATTGTATTAAAAAAAATATTCGTTACAATGAGTACTAATTTATCAGGATTACAAAGATTGATCCGAAAAATCCGGAGCTAAATTATGGTAATGGACGCTTTAATAAAATTTCCTTTCTTACTATGCAATTTCTCAAAATTTATTTAATTTTGAGTAAGTGTGCATGGCTATAAATATACTTATATTAAGTGTAAATGACTTCTTTGATTACTTGAATAACAATATTAAAACAATTACAAACTACTCTAATGGCATAACAAGACATGTATAACAAACTTTAAGGTATCGTTTAAAACAGATATACAAACCACTTCATTTAATTAGCATTGTCCTCCTTAATCATTTGGGCCGCTTTTTCTCCAATCATGATTGTTGGGGCATTCATGTTCCCACTTGTAATGATAGGAATAACGCTAGAGTCTGCCACTCGAAGGTTTTGAACTCCAATAACGCGCAGCCGCGAATCAACAACTGAACCCATGGAACAGGTGCCGACAAAATCAAAATACGAATAAGACATACTTGACGCGTAGTACTTCCAGTAATCTTTGCTACCATGTTCATGAGTGCAATCTTGAAAGTTCAAGTAAACAATTTTTGCTCCGGCCTCTCTAAATGTCGTTGTATTAACCACACTAATATAGTCTTCAACATACTCAACAATATTTTCAAGATCTTCTTTATCACAGAACATTCCAGCCTCAATCACTGGAGGGTCCAAAGGATTTGTGCTTTTCAATGAAACCTTTCCTCTAGATTTTGGATGCAAAAGGTTGATGACGCCAAATAATATCGGGCTATCGGCTTTTTGTGGATTTAGTTGATCACAAACTGATTTCTTATAATCCCAAGTTAATTCACAGTACATAGGAAATGCTTCAGAATTTACAACATAATTTAATGCTTGGTAGTCAGGGATTTGGGATTGTTTGTTTAATGTTACATAACCATGGGTCATGGAAACTGGATAATCATGTGGGTTAGGAATAGTAGTTGGGTTTTTTAAATTCTCCATAGAAATTATTACCGGAGTACCGGCATGATCTTGTAAATTGTCTCCAACAGGAAGATCTGAAATTGTTTTAATACCAAATTGCTCTAGATGTATTTTCGGCCCTATTCCTGATAACATGAGAAGTTTAGGTGAATTGAAAGCTCCAGCTGAGATTATTACTTCTTTTTGAGCATAGAATATACGCTTTTCATTATTCGTGTTCACTTCAACACCTATGGCAACATTATTGTTATCAAAAATTATTCGTGTTGCTAAAAAGCATTCCTTAAAACTATAAGATTAGAGCGATCTTTGATTGGTGACAAGAAAGAATACGCAGTACTCTGACGAGCAGTTTTATCGTATGTAAACATAGGTTCTGTAAAACCCAACATAGAATCACCATTGACATCTGACACTATTTTGTGACCAAGTTCATGAAATGCTTTCAAATATATTGCATCTTCCTTGCGTTGAGCTTTTGTTACTCCTAAATATCCATCTGCTCCATGAAAGCTCCGAGCTTCTGAAGTAATAGAATTGAAACTTAGAAATCTTTCGCTTTTTTTAAAATCGGGTAGTACGTTACTAAAAGTCCAACATTCATCATTCAGTAGAGCAGCCCAAGCATCGTAGTCGCTCGGAGATCCTCTAATGTAATTCATATAGTTGAGACTACTGGATCCTCCCAACATTTTCCCTTGAGTTAAAGCAGGGAAATCGCAATTATGATGTGTACATACTTTGTCTGTACTTGTAAAATTCCAATCAATTGGTGAGTTTTTGAGGTAAGCCACTAACGATGGTAACTGAAAATATAATAATGATATAAAATCCCTGGACAATTCACACAGCACCATGTAGTCTCAAGCTAAGCAGAGTATATGCTATAAATACATGGATTTAAAACATAGAAAATATCCAGAGTGATAGAAAAAATCATACTCTAGTATACAAATGTTTGTACGGTGCGAGGAATCGTACCCGCGACCATCGGAAGTACAGCGGTATGCTAATTTGCTTCCTGCGACCGACAAATATAGTAAGAATACAACAAATTTAGAATTTTAAGTCTTCTCTTCATATTGATTGTAGACAACCATTAAATTGCATAATTCTTTATAGTAATTACGAATAGCCTATAATGAAAAATTACTTATTTAAATAAATTTTCATTGAAACACTTTTGAATAGTCATCACATTTCTATTAATCTACCACTCATTCGGAAAGCTGTGTCATCACAAGAAGAACGAGCAAGAAATTTGCGTGTTGCTCTTTTAAATAATGAAGTTGTAACTTTACATTTTTAAGTTGACATGTGTGAATATAACTACCAATTAGCACAAATTCATTATCAATAGTAAGACTGGTTGAGTAACTAAACAAGAGTAAATCAGTCATCAATCGATAGAAAAGTATTTTCTATTTTCATATTAATAAACATAAATAATGATACTTGGTTAATTTTCCATTACCGTTAAACAGATTTAAGAAATATATCATCATAGTCGCCAAATTTAAATGTTACATTAAAAATTGTGTCAATTACCGTAGTTTCTAATGGAGGGTTCCCCCGGCCTCTATAAGCAGTACTGTTCTCTGTGCATCCTCAGATAGTCTGTTCGCTATAACAGCTCCAGCAGATCCAGCACCCACTACTAAGTAGTCAAACTTACATTCATCTGTTGGTATAGAATTTTTAAGTTATTATCTTTCTGTGTTTGTAATACTAGGATGTATGTAATTTCTGCCTGTTAAGGATTATTTATTTTAATTATTTTGTCTTCCATTGCCTACGTATAAATCGTTGCTTAAAAATAACTTTTTATTACTTCAATGTCCTTCGTTTCAACAATAACATCAATAACATCTGGGTCCAAGATAAGCCGAGATTGTGTTATAGATTCTAGATAACTGATATATTTTTTTTTTATAAATTGATATATAATTTCTCATAGGAAACTCCCAGACCAATACAACAATCAGTCTCATGATTACAATGGTATTGTGCGAGAAATTGAATCAGCGGCATAACTAAAGCGAAGTGCTAAACGGTAATCGATGCCGTCAATTATTCATGACTATCATTATAAGGATTATTATTTAGTAAATCTTATATATAAAATTCTCGTGTCACAGTTTTCGTTCCCATACTCCTCCGAAACGGCTTGACCGATTCTCATGAAATTTTGTGAGCGTATTGAGTAGGTCTGAAAATCGGCCAACATCTAATTTGTCATTCCCCTAAATGTTAGGGCTAGTCCACCCCTAAATTTGTATTTTTTATTTTTAAGACAACATTTTTATTTTATATTTTTTTATTATACAACTTAAAAAAATACATACAATCCTAAATTTTCACCCTTCTATCATCAACCCCTATTTTTTTATAGCGTTATTAATTTATATGGCAAAACAACGTTTGCCGGGACGGCTAGTAAAATATAGATAGATGGAAATTATAAGAAATTTACGCTGACCAATATAAATATTGTACCTTCCAAGTTAGGTTGTGGTGAATACAGATAAGCCGTTAACTGAAGATACGTTGTCAATAAGTTCATAGCATTTTGTATACTTCGAACAGTCGTCAAAGTGGGCGATATCATGTTGCATCAATCTGAAATTTCAATATTAATTCTATAGTACTTCTTATTTATATTATACTAGCTGTTCCCGCGACTTCGTCCGCGTGGAATTTAACTTTATTTTTCTAAAATAAAGTAGCCTAAGTTACTCCTGATTACATCAGCTACCTGCCAAAAAAGTCCCGTCAATATCAGTCCAGCCATTACAGAGATTAGCCGGAACAAACAAACGGACAAAAATTATAAAAAAATTTATTTTGGTGTATGTGTGTATGTACCGTATTTATATTCATATACATGTAGTAAAAAACGGTTATTTCAATATCCATCTAGACCCAAGTTAAGTTAACTAAAGCTTATGGGTACTAGATAACTGATACATATTTTTTAACGTCAATACATACATATTACACATAGAAAATACCTAGATTCAAACAGTCTAAGTCATGAATACAAAATATTTGCACCGTGCGAGGAATTGAACCCGCGACCATCGGAAGTAAGGCGATGTGCTAACCCGCTAGACCAAAATGGCTAGCGAGTTAATGGCCCTTACTAAATCTGCTTATATGAATACAAATATTAATTTTGTACTGTATTCGAAATAGTACACAATTACATCGATTATTATTACTACTCTAAATTACACCCAAGAGGTCAGCAGTTCAAATCTGTATATACCAAAAAATATTGTGAGGGTTAATTTATATTCCGGTGAAGGAAACACCAACATCAAGCTAACAGAAAGACTTAAATATGCAGACACATTTAAGTATACAGCTATCATATTTAATCGAATTAGGTACTATATCCTATATCCTATACGCTATATCCTATATACTATATCCTATACCCTATACCCTATATCCTATACCCTATACCCCATATCCTATATCCTATATCTTATATTCTATATCCTATATTCTGTATCCTGTATCCTATATCCTTGATGGTTTTATATTATTTTGTTTAATTCCGCTACAAATAGCTCACACACACTAATTGTAGCGGAATTACAGTTACCGTTGACCGTACCGTCGTCGACCTTCTCTAATGGCGATCGAATTCCAATCGTTACTGACTCTACACCCATATCGCAATAGAATAGAATAGAAGAATAGAAAATCATTTATTCAAATAAACTTACATTGAAGCACTTTTGAATAGTCATAACATTTATTTTTTAATCTACGGCTCATTCGGAATGCTGTCTCATCACAAGAAGAACAAGCAAGAAACTTGTATTATATTAATGAAGCAAGAAATATGGGTGTAGACTCAATAACGGTCGGTAGTCAAGTTTCCGCACTGAGTAATTATGGTCTCACACATGCTTATTGTAGCGGAATTAAACAAAATTATATAAATACATAAAGTAATCGGCTAAATAGTTTTTCTTACCGGATATTTTTATGATATTAATTTTTAATAATTAACTAACTGTTTAATTTTAAATAATAACAGTTAATAATAATAAAACTTAAACTTTAAAGCTACTTACATTGACAATATATTACATGAGATTGTTACTCTATGCTTAACTTATTTAAATAACTTTAATGCACGTTTTACATAAGTAAAAAGTACATATGGTGGACATAACACTTAATGCCAAATTAAGTGAAACAAACCGTATAACTGCCTTAAATAGTATTAGTTATCGGAAAACTTTTTATCTGTCTGCATTTTTAAATTACATTAAAATATCTTGTTTCTATATTAGTTTTATTTAGATATAGTAAAATTTACGCTTGCATTTTAAATTAAATTAGTGGATAAAACGGTAATTGAATATTTACATTTGTTGTATTAATTAGACGTTTTAACGGCATTCTCATTTCTATTTCAATTCGTATCGTTATTATTATTTTGTCTGGAATAATTTTTAACTTACTAGCTTAGCTCGCGGTTTTATCCGCATGAAATTTATAGCCTTATGTAGAAGCTACATTACTGTAAAGTTTCATCGAAATCCGTTCACTAGTTTCTACTTGAAAGAATAACAAACATCCATCGATACTTTAAAAAAAATGCGTTTATAATATTAGTAATATATTAATGTATGTGTATTTTTTTTTAATGTGTAATGGGAGCTACTCTGAAACTAGCGCTGTATAGGTGCCACTCATTGAAGTTGGGCCTATATCAGCAACAGCTGAGGCAGCTCCTATTGCCAACTTTGTATGTTATTTTTATTATTATGTCTATTATTTGTAAATTGTTGTGTTATTTTAGCAATAAATGATCTATCTATCTATCTAGATATCTTAATCTATAGCTGTTACCCGCGACATTATCTGCGTGGAGTTGATATAAATTAAAATTCTTAAATAAATGTAGCCTAAGTTACTCTATATAACATTAGCTATCTGCGAGTGAAGGTCCCGTCAAAATCGGTACAGCTATTTCAGAGATTAGCAAGAACAAACAGAAAGACATTTTTTTTATTAATTTCTTTATATAAATGCCGTATCGTTTCACTAAGTACACTTACATATGTACTTAGTTAAACGCTGTTAATTTAATAACAAACAGACATATCAATTTTACTTATTTGTATAGATGTATAATATTTATATTTATTTAAACACATAGCATAGTATTAATATTTTTATATTATATATTACATATTATATATATTATTAATACGCGACTTCGTCCGCGTGGAATTTTACAACATTACTTAATTTTTCTAAAATAAAAGTAGCCTAAATTACTCTTTATTACATTACATTACATTAGCTACCTGTCAAAAAAAGTACCGTCAAAATCGGTTCAGCCATTTCAGAGATTAGCGGGAACAAACAGACAGACAGACAGATAGACAAAAAATGTTAAAAATAATACTTTGGTGTATGTACAGTATTTATATTATATATATTGATGTCAGTAAATACAATGCTGACCGTTTTGAGTCGTTAACTAAACATTGTACATGTGATCATTCAACTTTGCCAAATAATAATTCAGTTTCAACTGTGCAGATAAATGAAGTTCAGGGGATTTGTGTCAGTGACTATAATCCTAAAAGTAGCACAATGGTGTTTTCTGACAGAATAGGCTGTAATTTTGGGTCTATATTGAAGTATCATCTTAAGGGTGATGTATTAAATTACTGTATGCCAGGGGCATCATTTGCACAAATTATTAACAAAATTAAATCTACTAAAATGAATAAAATGACCACAGTTGTGTTATTTTTCGGTAATAGTATTAAATTAAATAGACAGGATATAATTAAAGGTATTCAATATTTGTTACAATTGAATGTATATAAGATTGTATTGTGCGCTCTTCCTTATACAAGTAGCCATTATCATAAAAAAATTAACAATAAGGTACATTACCTTAATAATTTATTGCATACATTGACATGTCGTCATAGTGACGTTTTTACATTTTTTGACACTAATAGTTTTATTAGTGATTTTTATTTGACAAAAGATACAATGTATCTTTCTAAATCTTCTAAGAATAAAATAGCCACTTTAGTGGCTTATAATATTGACTTCATGAACAGTTTACATGGTAAACTTCAATATAAAAATTGTGACATAACAAATGATTCTATTAATTTTTGTTTAAATAGTGATATAAGTAATTTGACTGCAGATTTAAACTGCTAACAAAGACAAAGGGAAAGCAATTAGAATTGGTAATTGTTCATCAGAACATACAAAGTTTTCCCGGCAGTGAATTAATTATACAATTATTTTTGGAAAAATACAATATTGACATTATCTGTTTCACTGAACATTGGCTTAAAGAAAGCAATATGATGTTCAGTTTAAATAATTATAATGTTGTCAGCTGCTTCAATAGAAAGTCAGTTAACAGAGGTGGGTCTATGATAATTGCAAGAAATAATATTAAAGTAAAGGAACGTGCTGACATTGTTAGACTTTCTATTGAGTGTTGTACAGAAATCTCATGTATAGAACTAGATAATTATATACTTATATGTTTTTATAGGCCTCATAATAGTGATTATAATGTATTTGAAGAGGTGATGGAGGATATATTAAAAAAAGTATTTAATAGCAGTAAAAAAATCATTGTGTGTGGTGATTTTAAAGTTGATATTCTTTGTGATACACCCACATGTACAAAAATTATTAGTTTATTTCAGTCTTTTAATTTGAGTAATGTCTTTCAGGAACCCACTCGTGTAACCGCTACGACTGCTACTTGTCTTGACAATGTTTTTTGTAACTGTGAGTATATTGAAAAATTAATAATAAATAAACTTCCTTCGGATCACTGTGGTCAAGTTGTTAAGTTTAGTAATCAGACTAAAAAAAATACCAATAATAAAAGATCAAAAAGACAAATAAATGCTTACAATATTAATAAATACAAAAGCACGGTTAAATATAAATTAGACTTAGAGCTACAATCTGTCAGTCTTAATAATCCTGATATTCTTTACACCAAGTTAATTAGTCTTTTGTCAAAAGAATACCAGAATATTTTCAAGAAAAGAGAATATTGTGTTAAATCTAAATTTACAGAATGGGCAACAGTAGAAATACTTAAAAGTAGAAACATTTTATTTGATTTGTATGATCAAAAAAAATATAGATTTGATGACAAATTTACGACTTATGTGAGAAATTACTCTAAAATTTTCAAACAAGTTTGTATTGCAGCTAGTTATTGAAGTCGCTGGCGGAAGACCCAAAAAAAAACCAATTTTTATAAGTAAACTAAATTTAATTCTAAAAATTAATTATTACAATTATATAGGTGTCTTCGGATCGATGTGTGATCCGTAAGTGCAATTATATAAAATTAAAAATCAGGGAAATGGGTATTATTGCTGTGGGGACTAAAATGCTGATTCGACGCAGGTGGTTTTCTCGGTAGCGCACCTTCTTGCGTCATGCTTGGTGGTCCGATCCGATCGCCGTTGAGGATGTGTCGTAATACTTGCTAGGTATCTACTATAACACCTCCCCGTTCAGATTAGCAATTATTTTTGAAGCTTCAGCTGAGAGAATATTGCGGACTGTGGCATCTCGGTACTGGTACGGGTTTCAGTTTCAGGGGGCAGCTTTTCAGGTGTACCTTGATTAGTCTTATATTTCCATACTGTAATTATTATAAGACAGCCCAATATAATGATGTAAAGTGGAATCGTAGTATGAAATAGGAACGATTTTGAGGTTTGCTCGTGTGTAGGATGCTGCAAGATCACCTTGTGCTGAATTTCATGAAGTCTTGTAAGGTCTATTGATCTAAGATTTACATGAGGTATTTTATGGTCATGGAGTTGCATATTCTGGGAGAATTGCAGTATCTTCATAGGTTGTCCTTCCACTCTATTATTAATGTTAGTTATGGTGAATTCCGGGGTATAAAGAAAGCAGTTTACTGGGATTGTTGCGAGATAACTTCCATTCAGAATACTGTAAGTTTCTTTTCCACATAGTGTATGAATTGTAGTAGCATTGGGGAATGATATTATATAGTGTCTCTCATCTAGCTCTTCCATAGCCACTTTAGATAGGTTAACTGTTGCTACTTCGCAGACTGGGTCGATAGATTGCTTGAATATAAGATTCTGTATGCAGTCAGGATGCTGTCGAAGTTGATGATCCATCTTATCTCCGCAGACATACCAATTTTCATACTTCGGGCATTCTGCCTCTATATACACATAACCTTTCCTGTTAGTTGCAATCAATGGATAAGGAGGAATGAGGACCTGCTTATATTTATTGGGAGCTACAGACAACTTGTATAAATCATAACTATCTGAGGAAAATATGGGTATTTTAAAACTAATAACTATCTGATTATCTGAATAATAGAAACCTGGCTTAATTATATCGTAGTATACCCTAAGTTCTAAGTTTAATATTCTATCCTTACCATAAATCTTAACTAACTTCTGGACCATTTTGTTTAAAGTATCGATTTTAATCATAGAATGATGCATAGAAGAAGCGCGAATGAAAGCTAATATATTTTCGATTCTAAATAGTTCATTTAATACGTCGTCTATATTTTCAGTTATAATTGCTAAGTATTGAGCGAATTTAGCGTATTTTATTAGGTCGTTATCTGAGTGAGCATCGTTATCGTATAACA